ACCACATACATGTGCAGAAAACGTGTTGCCAAAGATTGCGTCTCTAAGGCGAGGATTATCAGAAGGTTTTCTAACTTCTTAGGTCACTGGGTACAGATGTCCTTTTATAAAATAGAAATCTGGCTTTCGACCTCCCAAGATTTTCAGAGTGCATGCATATGGAATCCTATATTGGCTTTAGCTATGGTGATTTTATGGGCTGGGCAAAAACCACCAGCTCAGAGGCTCCATACACACCAGTGTCTCCATGATGCTTGGGGCAGAGGGCTCAGGGCCCAGGAAAGTCCTCTCAGGTTCCTTAACCATCCCACCCTTGGCAAACCAAGCTAAAAGGTCAGATTTGCCTTGTTCCTATTGACGAGGTGTCAGGAGCCCGGACTTTCCTATATACCACTCACCCCAACACAACTGTCCAGCCCCACCCCACCAACCTTCAAAACCCAGCCAGGAGGCCAGCTCTCTCAGGAGAGGCCTTCCCTCAGCCCCTCCTCTCCCCTCTGAGCTCAGAGCCACCCCTCCCTCACCCATTAGGATGAACATGCGAGGATGCTCATGAAGAATGAGGGTAGGAGTGGGGAATGCAAACAAACAAGTGTCCAAACTGGTTACATAAGCCACAGAATATTAGGTGGCCATTAAAAATCATGTTTCCATGGACTATGTAACAGGAATGCCTCCAGCAAAATATTAACTAGAATATAACCACTTTAAAATATAGTCCCAGTCGTGTAAAAATAGTCACCCTCATGTATATTATATATATAGGAAAAATAGAAGGACAGTGAAATGTGCACAGAGACTATGTCTTAATGGTGATTTTTAAACTTTTTTATATTTTTCCAAGTTCTGAAATTTTGCCTCAAACATTATAATAATCAAAATTAGATTTCTTAAGCGGAATCCTAAATATTTACTAGTCCTAGGCTCACATCCCCTCTTCTAGTCTTGCCACAATGTCACCTGACCTCTGTTTGAACTCCTCCGGAGATGGGGAACTTGCTACCTCTCTTCCTCACGAGAAGTAGAATCTGGCTTCCTTTAGCTTCCCCTCACTGGCCACAATTCTGCCTTCTGGAACAACAGAGAACAAGGCTGCTCCCCACGTCCCCTTGGCAACACTTCAGAGGTTCAAAGGCAACAGCCAGGCTCCAGGCTTCATGTCCCCAACCCCAACAGCCTTCCGAGGACATTAATGTCCCCCTGTCTCCCACATCCCTGGTACAATCCAGGCAGTGATGTCCATGAGGTATAATTATGTCTCCCTGGCATTACCCACATCACCTCTTATCAAAGGCATGCCACTCGCCAGTCAGTGTCTCAGGGGCTCTGCTGCATGCCTTCTTTCAACTAATCCTTAGAACAACCCTATGACCCAGGAGCGAATCTCACACCCATCTCACAGATGAGGAAACCGAAGCATGGAGAAGCCAAGCCCTTTCCACAGCTACTTAACGGAGTGCGATGGAGCCAGGACTGAAGCAGGACCTAGCACCCCGCCCGCTGTGCCCAGTGAGGAAATGAACGCATGAGCCCAGCTCTAAAGCCCACACGCTCGGCGTCCATGGTTTGTTTCAGGATTCTGTATGCCTACGCCGGGCTCTTCCGGGTCATTCACTTCTGCATCCGTCCCCCTCTCTCACCGGGCCTGCTACCTGGAAGTGCTCATGAAGGGCTCCTGAAAGCCGGACCCACTGAGAACCCGTTGCCCGAGGCCCAGCTGTGGGAGCAGCACTGAGTGGGTTCTCTGACTCTCTGCTCGGCGCTGTGGTGCCATGGCCAGAGCCAAAGTCCTGGGGGCTGGGGAGTTCGGACCTCATACCAGGCACACACACAGGGGGTTGGCCATGAGGCACTAGGTGCCCCTCCCCACCCCTGACAGGGGCCTCTGGACTCCCCTGTCACTCCTACAGGCAAGTCCCTGGCAAATTTGTTTCCTTGGCCCCTCCCCTCTCTGTCCATCCTCCTCCCAAGTCCTCCCGGGGACATGACCACAGCATCCATGGTCTCAGTCAAGATGGGTTTAGGAAGGACCAGACAGTGCAGATGGCTGCTGAGCACCCACCTGCCAGGGATCCCCACTCAAGCATCCATCAGGATTTCAACTCATCCCAATAAGGCAGTGACTTAGCCTCAGGTTGGGTCTCCTGGCTAAGGCCACCAGGCACAGGAGACTACAGAACTCAGCAAACGCTCTAATCCTTGAACTTGGAAGGATGGAGAGGTCCTAGCAGTCAAGCCTCTGTCCCTAAGCCAGGGTAGTCCCCGCTAAAAGCTCCGGGTTCATTCCTTGCTGCCTGCCACCTCCACTTTCCACAGTGAGCCTCGTCATCCTGCACTTTCTCTGGCTCAGCCTCAGCTCAGGCTCTTTTCTCTGCCTCGACTGTAACTCCTACCAAACCGTCAACGTTCAGTCAAGGCATCCCCACACCCCATCTTCCCCCATCCAAGGAGTCTTCCTGTCTCTCTTGAGGATGGGTGAGATACTGCTGCTGCTCCCCGGGCTAACCCCTAGCCTGGCTGTTGGGCCCCCATTTGTTCACTCAAATAGTTCCACAGCACCTGCTCTGTAGGAGGCTATGAGCACCAGATGGGGGGTGCAGAAAACCAGGCTCAGGTGAACAACTTTGTCATCAACTGGCTCTATGACTTTGAACACATCACTCCTCCCTGAACCTCCGTGTCCTCACCTGTGGAGTGGCAAAGATTTGGCAGCTCAGCCTAGCTTCCAGGGCTTTTGTAAGGCCCTCGGGATGTGAAAGCTCTCTGTAAACTGCCATTCAGGGTGAGTCATTGTTGCCATGACCTAACCCTTCTCTGGCGTGAGCTCATTTTTGTACATCCCATCCTTACAGCCCTGTGTCCCCTGGGGGACTGACAGCTGGTGGGATGGCCTTGGGAGCTCAGGCCTTCCAGGGTTTGGCATCTGGATGAGAAACTGGGCAGGAGCACAGCCTGGAGAGATGGAAACAGGCGTGAACTTTAAATGAACTGGTTTATGGATCCTGCCACACGGGGGCAGGGGCCTGGCATTTCTGGGGCAGGAAGACATGCCGGACTGCCCTGAGGCAACGGAATGAAGGCTTTCATGCCAAAGGGCTTTGGAATCAATAAGAAGCCACTGGAAGCTCAGAGACAAAGAGCACCGGACTAGGGAGCCGGATACGGGGGTTCCACTCTAAGTTACTCTGTGACCTCAGTCAAGCCCCTTCCCTTCTCCAGGCCTTAACCCTCTGCTCTGCGCATCAGCCCAGGTGGTACCCAGGGCCCTTTCCCACTGGGGTCGTCTGTGCGGGCTTTACTTGCCCTTCACAGCTTGTGTGGAGGGGGTATCGTCCAGTTCAGGCTGTGCCAAGGACAGACAGGGACAGCTGGTCAAGGCTCTTGGAAGGGCAAAGAGGCAGGGGAACCCATGCTCACTGTGGAAGGGTCAGGCCTGGAACAGGGCCCCTCTTTCGGTCTCCTTCCGCCCCTGCCTAGCTGGAATTCACTCTTGGCCCACTTTGCAGATGGAGACGTTAACACAGGTACAGAGAACACAGACTCTCAGACCCTTAGAAGTCATCCTGCTCATCTCCCTCCCTCTCCATGTAGAGGGAGAAACTGAGGCCCCGAGAATGGTACGGGCTTGCTTGAGGTCATGTATCATGTTCATGGCAGAGCCAGGACTGATGTCCACCTATCGCTGGCTCCACTCTGGGTCTCAAGCCTGGCTCAGCTTTCTCTGCCCACCATCCCCATCAGCCAGCCCTCGGCTTCCACGGCTGCAGGCAAGCCTCAGTTTCCCTGTTGGAGTAAGGGAAGACAGGAGGGTTTCCCGGTCAGAGCTTGGTGAGGTTTCTTGAACTAGGAATAAAGGAGGAGTAAGAGGCATTGTACTTAGGGTGAAAACTCCTCTCCCTGAACTAGCACAGGGCAGGGAAAGCTTGCCTTGGCCCCAGTAAATCAGGAGGGGGAGAGAGAGAGAGAGAGAGAGAGATTGATTGATTGATTGATTGATTGGAGTTTTATGAAAAATAACGACATTTGGTTGCAGTGTGGGGCCTCTCAGGGTCTCCGGAGGACTGCTCATCAAGTTTATGGGACCACCTCCTCCCACCTGGCTGAAAAGCAGGGAGTAGTAGGAAGAAGGTTTAGAACTTGAGGGTCCTTCTTTCCCCCTCTGCGCCTCGGTCGTCCCCCCGAAGGAAGTTGTCCTCTGGCTCCAGGCTCTGACCTTCTGTGCTGGTCAGAACCCAAGGGGCACCTGGTCCCACTGTCAGAAACCCGAGTAGAGTCTCCTGGGCCCTAACCCAGCTCCGAGGCCCCTCGGGGGAGGGACAGGAAGGAAAGGAAGGGCAGCAGCAGGCGGTAGATCTCCTCCCTCTTTGGCCCCTCCCAGCTACCCCCAGGACAGCCCACACGCACCGGCTTTGGGGCCTGAAGAGGCTCGAGACCCGCGCTTCTCAAACTTTAAAGCCTGTTGTCATTACCTGGACATCTCGCTAAAAGGCAGGTTCTATTTTAGCAGGTCCGGGGCACTGCCTGAGATTCTGCATTTCAAACAGGTCCCGGGTGGTGCCGCTGCTGTAAATCCGTGGACCACTCTGCGAGTAGCGGCCTCAGAGATTGTGTGCCTCAGAACGGTGGGAAAAGCGGAAGGCCCAGAGAGGTCAAGTCATTTGTCCGTGGCCACACAGCGAGCAGCCCCGGACGGAAGGAAAAGGGCACCTGCCATAGCGCTAGACGTTTCCCCGCTCGGGCCGCCGGAATTAGCCGCGCTTCCCGGGCCCAGGGGCCGTGTCGGTAAACTCGGCTGCCCCGCGCGGCTCAGCCCGGGGCCGGGGCTAAGAGCGCCGCCCGGCCGAGCTTTCCCCGCCTCCCTCCGCGCCGGCCTCTCGCCGTCCTCCGCCCGGCTCCCCGGGACGACCGGAGGGGGCCGGCGGCGCCGAGAGTCCCTGCGGCGGAGCGGTTCCGCACCCTCCTCCCCTCCCGAGGCAAACTTCGCCGCCCGAGCCCTTTACCTTTTTGGGGGCTTTGCAGCAGCTCAGCCTGCTGTGTCCGCAGCCCATCCTCCTCCGGGGACTCCCGGACGCCGCCTCCCAACTCCGGGGAACCCCCCGGAGGACCCAGCCGTCGCGGCCCCGCTGATCGCCGCGCGCCCGCCGGCCGGGGCTGCCGGCGAGACCCTGAAACTGAACCTGGAAGCGCAGACTTGAGCCGGAGCTGGGGCGGCCGCGCGCCGTAAATACCCGAAGAGCAGGGCCTCCGCGAAGCCCGCGGGGTTCGCGGTGCCGCCGCCCGAGGCAGGTGACCAGAATCTCGGTAAATGATAACAACCTTGGGCCAGGGCAGAAGAGATCCCTGGGAGCAACGGATGCTTTTCTGGGCCCTTGGCGGAGAAAAGGCCAGGAAAAAAATTAAAACAATTACTTAGAAAATACAACAGCTACCATTTCTTGAGAGCTGTTTCTGTGTCGGCTACATTGTACATATTACTTTATTTTTTTCCATCTCCTTGCAACAAAGGTATTATTCCTTCCACATTACAGGTTAGGAAAATGAGGCTCAGAGACGTGACTTGCCTTAAGCTCATGTTGCTAGTGAGTACCAGAGCCCAAATAAATTCCAGTTCTAACTCCTGAACCTAAGCTTTGAACCACTTCCCTACAAATACATAATGATACTTAATTGTAATGCCTCTTCACTTCTGGGTCAATAGTTCTTCCCAGCTCACAAGCATCTGTAACACTCTGTCCATCTTGGATAGATGTTACCCATTACAACACCTTGTGAAGCAGACCAGCAGATGCAGTGGGAGTAAGCGACAGAACAGGTCACTACCTGGGGAAGAGGCCTTTTATTTACCCTCACTCTGTTACTATCTGAGGTTTCTGAGGGTGGCAATGCAGCAAAACCACACCTAGCTTTGAAAATCAGTGTGCATGTGTATCTGTGTGTCTATTAGCAAATGATACCAGGCCAGAGACACTTGGGAAGGTATGCAAATGTGAAAGGGACTTACAGTCATGAGTGAGGAAAGAGTATGAGACGACAAAGGAACTTCCCACTCCACAGAGTATAAAACCAATTGTAGTAGGTTCTAAGGAAGGAAACTAAGGACACAGATGATATGAGGTTCTTGGAAGGAAGAATAATATAGGACAGTGGTTCACAAAGTGTGGTCCCCAAATCAGCAGGATCCGCACTACCAGATAGCTTTGTTAGAAATACAAATTATCAGGCCCCACCCAGACCTACAGATCCTAGACTCTGGGGATGGGGCTCATAGTTTCACAAGGCTGGCAGGTGATTCTGACCCCTGCTAAAGTTTGAGAACCACTGCTGTAGGATGTGCTAAACAGATAATGAGGAAAAGTGTCTCCTTAAATTTACAATGTTTATTGAAACAGTGCTCAGGATTTAAAAACAAATAAATAAACCAACAAACAGGCAAAACCCAAAACAACCTAATATCCAAGAAAAAGGAGGTTGGTTAAATAAATTAGCATATATCTATAAAAACAAAGTCATGTAACCAGTAAAAATACTCATGAGGGTGAATTTTTTTTAATTAAAAGAAGTAACAAATCCATTATTATTTTTAAAAAGTGTTAATAGTGATTACCTCTCTATAGGTGAGATTTTAGATATTTTAAACAACGAGTATATACTTATGACTATTGTTATAAGAAATCATTATTGTGAGAAGAAAGTTTTTAAACAAATATGTTTCTAAATCCGTTTGTGAGACTGAGACTAGTTTTTCACCATCAAGTGAATACATGGATTAAAAATATATGAAATCCCAAAGAAAGGGACAATGTGAATTAATTAGGTAGAAAAGAAAAGAAAAAAAAAGACAAAATGGCCAAAAATGTGTGGGGAGATCATAACCAGGAGTGCCCTGTTTGATCCTCAACCAGTTGCTTCCCCTTTTGGAGAGTTTCCCATCTGAACACTGAAGAGTTGCACTTTCCAAAACGGATCTGAAATTTTAATGCCAATAATTGAAGTCAATGGCTTGGGCTGGTGGGTAGGAACTAGGAAGGCAAATTCTATTCCTGGAGCTTCTGTTCTTAAGAGCTCTTGCCTCCAGCTTCTTTGAGCTTCCTGGGAGACCCGGGCTCAGATTTCCCACTTCCATACCACTGGCTTTTTGGTCATATGCTTTAAAGCTCCTGCCTAAGAAAAAACTCTAAAGAGTTCTCTTGATTTAGTAACTTGAGTTTGAATAATGAAATTTTCGGTGGTTGATGTGCCAGTCAGGTTAGGTTAGGTTTTGCTGAGGTAATGAAACATAAAAATGCAGTGACTTATCATGAGTGAAGCTAAGTTTTGCTCCCACTGCATGTCCAGAATGGGGAGGCAGGGGACTCTGCTGCACACAGACATTCTACACCATCCTGTGATGCAGGCGTCTCAACACTAGGCCTTCAAGTTTTGCCAGCACATGAGAAGAGCGTATACAGAGAATGAGGCATAGGGTCTTAAATGTGTCCACTCAGAAGTGACACACATTAAGTCTGCTCACATTTTATTGGCCAAAGCAAGTCACATGGTCATGCTCAACTTCAGGGGGATGGGAAAGGACAATGTGTACCCAGAAGGAGAGGAGAACCAGAAATACTGGTGAACAGCAGAAATGTCAACCATCAATGCGCCCATTTCTTGGGCAAGTAGGGTGACTGACTCATCCTGGTGTGTTCAGGATTTCTGCACTTTTAGCTCTGAAAGTCCCATGTCTCCTCAGTCTGAGGTCCACTGGGATGATTGGTCACCCTTTGGGCAAGGCATGGTGAAAGTACAAGGGAAGGAGACTGAATTAGTTATAATCTGCTTTTTTTTCTTACATTAGAGTTATATATAGAACAAGAGGGGGAACAATATAAAACAGGTTATAAAGCTAATGTTAAGTTGTGGAAAGTATTAGTATTAAAGGAAGATAAGAGACCATGGTGGATAGGGGTTAGGGAAGGAGGACTTCCTGGAGGAATACCAATGCCAAAGGATGTTCATGCTGAAAGGAATCCTACCATCTCAGGTTGGTGTCTGTTGCTTGCAACTAAGACAAATTTGTTTAATAATTTCCCTTCTAGGTGTTTGTGCAGTCTCTGTTTTTGTACTTCTAGTGATGGGGAGATCACTACCCATCTTCCCATATCTAGGGGGAGAGGAGAAGCAGAGAGGAGCCATTACAAGGGGAGGAAGAGCATGAGTCCAGTCAGGGTAGAGGGTGAAGGTTGGGGAGCTGGGGGATGAGGAATTAGAGTTGGTGGCTAGGTTGTGTGTAGGGGGACAAAAGTCAGGGCCAGGGTGGGCTCTTTTGGGAAAGATTGGAAAGAACACTATGGGGATTATCCTGAACTTTGTTCATAAGAGAAGTACAATATACCTATATATAAAAACTTCTGTCTAGAATTTCAGGGACCCTCGAAGCCCCTGCAGTAAGGGCTGTATGTGCATCTCTGGTTAAGAACCTTTGAACTCAGGGCGCCTGAGTGGCTTAGTCGGTTAAGCGTCTGCCTTCAGCTCAGGTCACGATCCCAGGTTCCCGGGATCGAGCCCCACATCGGGCTCCCTGCTCAACGGGGAGTCTGCTTCTCCCTCTGCCTCTCCCCCTGCTTGTGTTCCTGCTCTCGCTGTCTCTCTCTCTGTCAAATAAATAAATAAAATCTTAAAAAAAAAAAATAAAGAACCTTTGACCTCAGTGATGCTAAATGTCTTTCTAGCCCTGAAAGCTTTTTCTGTTCGGGTTCTTCCGACTGAGCTCAGTTGTTCCCCAAGCGTGTGGTGTGCCCGGAGTGACTTTCTGTGCCACCCTTCTGTGTGGGTTGTGGTCCCGCCGAACACCCAGCAGCAGACCAAATGCCCTCCCCTCCCGAGAGCCTGTGGCACCTGATCTGCAGCTCTCTCGGCACACGTGCGGCTTTCCTCTGACTTACACTTGTTTGTGGGCTCAGTGTGTCCCCACTCCTGACTAAGAGTTACACAGCTCCGTCTCCTCCTTCCTTACCCCACCCGGTACTTAGTAGATTGTGGCAGAGACTTCCAGTCACCTTACTCAGCTTCCATTCTTCCCTCTTCCTTAGTTATAGAATCATCCTATTCTCGGGGCAGCAATGTGTGGGCTAGCGGGCTACTTGCCCAGCTTCCCTTGCATCTAGGGTCTATGGGTGGCCGGTGATATGTAAGGAGAAATTACTGGTTGGGGCTTCCAGGAAAACTTTTTTTTTTTTTTAAGGAAGAGAGAGAAGAGAGGCAGAGGGAGAGAGAGAGAGAGAAAATCCCAAGCAGGCTCCATGCTCAGCACAGAGCCCGGCATGGGATGGATGCCACGATCCCGAGATCAGGATCAGAGCTGAAATCAAGAGTTAGAGGCTCAACCCACTGAGCCACTCAGGCGCCCCTCCAGGAAAATTTCTAATAAGGAAATGACTCAGCTGGGAAGAGGGCTCCCCCTTTTCCTTGACCCCCCTTTTCCTGCCTGGAATACAGACATGATGGCTGACTTCCAGCAGCCATGTTATTCCCCTGAGCAAAAAGATAGGAGCCTGGATCTCTGATGAATTTATCAAGCCCCCATACCAGCCTTGTTCAATTGCTTCCTAATTTTTTCACACAATAGAATAAAAAACAAATTTGTTTAAGCCACTGCCACTGAGATTCTGTCACTAGCAGCAGAATGTAATTTCTAACCAATTCATAGGTCATTAATTAAGGTTTATTATATTGGACTTAACTGGAATGCTTTCCTTTTGGAGACCCCAGCTTCAGTTCTGGAGGTAGGAAGTGAGGCTCTGTTGAGAAAGGTTTGCCAGACCTTTGATGGAACTGTTGGTTTTGATAGCTTCCTCTTGAAATTATAAATAAGAGAAAAAAAATAAGAGAAAACCTAAAGTTTTTGAGTCTTTAGGCTTTTTGTTGTTGTTAAGTAAGGTCTACCCCAAGGTGGGACTTGAACTCATGACTCTGAGATCCCGAGTAGCATGTGCTACTGACTGAGCCAACCAGGCACCCGAGTCTTTAGACTTCTATTGCAGTATTTCTCAAGGAATGGGCAGGCTCATGTGCTTTGGAATCCTCTGGAGTCATCCCTCTTTTCCTATCTATCAGGAACTGGAGAATCCAGTCTAAGGAATTTTCATACTGAAGTTGGAGCCTCATGACTCCAGTGTTTGTGGTGGATCATCATCTCAGCAGGGAGTTGAGTTGCTACATTA